GTAATATTTTTGCTGTAAAAATATCGATGAATCCGTCTGTTTGATCACCTTCAAATGGAACAACAGGTTTAACATCTCTTTCGAGTAAAAAAACTTTTAGTTTAGATTTGTAATAGTCGGCTATAACATTTTCGTCAAGATGATCTTTTTTCATATTGTCAAATTTGTTCAAGTGAAATTGACATAGTTGCGGCTGGTCTAGTAAATTTTTAAATTTACTGTTTTTAAAACATTTTTCAATAGAATAAGAATTTAATGTAATTCTTTTTGAATTTAAAATGTTTTCAAGAAAATCATTTGAAGATGTGTCTTTATAATGTTCCTCGTCTATAACTAGAGATGAAGGTGAAGAGTTTCCAGAATTGTTTTCTTGAGATTGATACCTTTTAGCTATTTCATCTAATGCGCAAACAGTGCAATTGTTATGAATTTTTCTAATGATGCTGTCAACTCTATTCATTTTTAATTAATAAAAAAAAATTTTTAAAAAAAATATTTTTTTTGATTTTTTATACATGTTTAAAATTTTTTCAAAAAGCATGCGTTTCATTTTCAATAAAAAATCTTGTTATTTTTTTTAGATTTGGTTATTAGATACTGAATATATTCACAATGAATCTATAAATGATCATTATTGGGGAAAAAATTGTATTAGAGAAATATGTTTAAGAGCATTAAACGAAGATTTTTGTTTACATGCTCAAGTATGGCCGTGTGTTACCTATCAAAAACTGGCAGAAAAACATCAAAAAGCATTTGACCATTGTAAAAAATATGTACACGGATTGACATACGATCCAAGTTTATTGTGCAATTCTGAGAGTATTTTTTGTACTGATATTTACGATTATTTGAGAACACAATTTATAAAATATCCAATAAATTTAGTTTTATATAAAGGTGGTGTAATGGAAGCTTCAATTTTAAAATGTTATAAAAATGTTTATTTTTTTGATGTTGGCATGTTGTCATTTCCAAAAATTAAAACTATGAATTATTTCTATGATGAAACAATTTGTAACGCTCATTTTGTTGGCGAAATTTTCAATATGAGTCATATGGATCATTGTTGCAAATATGAAACTAAAATGCTACGTAATTACTTAATTGATTTTATATATTATGTTAAAGGCAACAATCAAAAAAGAGAACAGTATAAAGACTTGGTTAATTTAATTCAAGAAAACAACCGATGTGAAGAAATAAATCAAACAAAATGTATATGTTTTGACAATGTATTTCTAGTTAATAAAACCTAATATACAGTAAATATAAAAAAATAAAAAAAAATTTTTGTTTTTTATAAACATTCCTTTGCGTTAATATAATACATATTAAAATGTTCAGCTTTATGAACAGGTTTATCGTTGATAATTTCTTGTTTAATGACATCATAGAGTCGATTGTCTCGTCTATTTAAAATTTTCGAAATGGTAAAATTTCTTTTAAAAAAATAAAACCAATTGGCATAAGGAAACATTTCCATAATTGATTTCTCATAAAAATTGCATTGATTAAACGATTTGTATATGTAAACTTTATCGTTCATAGTTTTTACTTTTTCAACTTTAAAATAGTTATAAATGGGTATAGGTGTATAAAGAGTATAAAATCCGTTATGAAATAATTTATCATTGTATGAAAATACTAATCTTTGTAAACAAGAAGGATACTCTTCCCGTAAAATTAAACTGTTACGCTTTAATAAATCATATTCGTATGAATGATTTTCGATTAAATAGGGAAACAAAAAATAATATTGTAATGATAATTTAATTTTATTTTTCCAAGAGGTTCATTTGTTGTCAATAGTACTACGATAATATTTCTTGTATATTTTTATAAAAAGATCAGTTTTGCGTTTTAACACTAAGTATCTTCTTGTAAAATTGCTATCTGCTGTGTACTCATTATGCATTTCTTCGTTTTTTTCTGTACATCTTAAAAAATCAGTGTTGATTAAATTACAAAAATCATACATGTCTGATTTCCATATAGATCCTTGTTCATAAAATTGAAAATATTGACGCGTAGTTTTTTCAAATAAATTTTGATGATTTTGATAATCTTTGATGATAAAAATAAAATACAAATCAATATATTCTTCTTTTGGTAATAACAGTTGTAAATTCCATTTAGTTAAATATTCGTTTATAATAATTTCCCAATCTTCATAACTGTTTTCCAAATGATGAAATTCTTGTAACATAGGATGAAGTTCGTTGTCTGGATAAAACAACTTTATTGCATTTTCTAAACTTTGTTCAACCTGCTTGCTAGTCATTTTTTTTTTTTGAAATGATATATAAAAAATTTTGATTTGTATTTATATTTTTTTATTAATCTATATGACTTCATATTAGAACCTTATAAGGTAATAAAAAACACGTTTTTTTTATTATAGCTGGTTTTTTTTATTAAATTTAAAAATACAAGTTTTTTTTTAAAAAAATAAAAAAAAGTTTATTCGTCATCATTTTTTTCGTCTTTAATTTCGTTTTGTTTTATTTTTTTATACTCTTTACTTTCTTGTCCAGCTAAATCTTGTGCAGCTCTTTTCATATTTTGATTAAAAGATCTTGTTTGTCCGTTTTTAAGTAAAGTGTTAATCATAATAGGTTCTACAGAAGATTGTCTATCGTATTCTGTATAATAAATTTCTTCGTCTTCTTTTAACATTCGTACGTTAAAAGTACTAATAGGTTGCAATTTTAATACTTTGTGTTTGTTGTAAGCATAATTATATCCGCTATTTTGTATTTCTTCAATTTTACATAACATAGATTGTAAAAGTTTTTTATTTAATTTAGTTTGAGTTGTAATTAAAATAGCATTAAATGTAATTTCCCCATCGCCTGTTTTATTTTTGAAATGAACGTCTTCTTTATTTAATTTCATTTCAGCTCTATACAAATAAATACATGTATTTTCTGCAAGGGAGCATTGTTTTCGAATAGATGCTGGCAACAATATAACTTCTTCTTTGCTTGAGTTGGAATAAACCAATTCTTTTTTTAGGAAATTAAATTGTGCTACGGGTTTTACTGGTACTTTAGAATATTTATTTTCTTTTAAATCTTTTTCGTTTGCTAAATCAATCTGCCATAATGTAGCAGCTGCCATGTCACCGTATTTTAAATAATTTTGCAGATTGCAATAATTAACTTGAATTTCGTTGTCCATTTTATTGTATATGTTTTTTTAACTGTTGTAAAGTGGTCAAATGATATAAAAATGAAAAAATTTTTTTTGTTTATATACTCTATTTTAACAATAGAGATTAAAAAAAAAAACAAGATTAAAACAAGTTTATATAAAAAATTGTCAACGTGTCATTTTAAATTTTTTATGATATCATATTTTTACTTTATAAGGTAATACAATAGAAAAAATGTTAATTGTATCTAAATATAGAATTTTTATTGTATTGAGTTCTGTATAAAAGGAGAGAATTTTTATTTCAGAATCACTTCAAAGCAAGATGAGTTTAGAAAGATTTAATACTGTGAACGAAATGGTAAATAACGAATATCTTAGTTCATGTATGAAAATAAATAAATTATTTATTTTCATACATGATTGTTCAAAATTATTAGAAAAAGAAAAATTTTTTACTCAAGAAATAATAAATTTATTAATCGAAATTGAAAAAGAAAAAAAACTTTGTATTAGATAACTAAATAAAGATTCATCAACTCGTATTTATAAAATATCAAAATATTTATGGAAAAATATGGAATCAGGAAAATCAATTTCAGTAGAAGAAGAAGTAAAATATTTACCGTTAACAGATTTAGAAATAAAAAAATTAGATAAAGACGAATTAGCTTATTTTACATGTCGAAAATGTCAGAAGATAAATCCTAATTTTCACGATTGTTATTGGTGTGATAGTAGAATGTGCTATCTATGTTTATTGAAACATTCAATACAAACAATGTTAAACTTTGACACGGACAATTGTAAATTTAATTGTTAATTATTTTTTTTGTTAATAATAATTGTTTTTTATTTTTTTTAGATAAGTAAAAAATGAACAAAAGTAAAGATTTACAAGAAGCTTTGGTTAATTTAACAGATTTAACATTGTATAAAATAAGAACTAATAATTATAAAATGATTGATTCTTGTACTATAATGAATATAGATCAAGATGGTATTAAGATTGAAAGAGCTATTGAAAAAATTAAAAATGAAATAAACGTTAGAAAAGATTTGAAAAAAGAATTATACGATGCTCGTGATTATTTAGAATTATGTAAAACTATGAACGTTATGCTGCAAAATAAATTATGTCATTATGAACGAATGTTGCAAAATAATGAACAATTTATAAAATGTTATTATTGTCAAATTTATTATTTAAAAAGTGATGTTTATTATTATCCTAATGATTTTTTTCATTGTTATTGTCCAACATGTAAACTATTATACGGTTGTTAATAAATTTTTAATATTTTTTTTGTAGATGAAAACAGTAAAAATAATAGATACTAAAGGATGGTCTTTATATGCTACTAAAGGAAGTGCAGCTTTTGATTTACGTAGTACCGAAAGAAAAGTAATATTGCCATATCAACGTATATTAATTTCTACTGGTGTTTTCATATCAGAAATGGATCGAGATCTTCAAGGTTTCATTACATCCAAGTCTGGTTTAGCCATACATAACGGTATAACAGTATTGAATTCGCCTGGAATTATCGATTCTGATTATAAAGATGAAATTTATGTCAATCTTTATAATTCGTCAATTGAAGCATATACTGTTACTGTAGGACAATCTATTGCACAAATGACTTTTGTACCTGTATTTTTTGCAGAAAGAATTTCATGGACAGTAGATAAAAATAAAAATAGTCAAATGGAAATACAATCCATGTTATCTGATGAAGAAAGAAAGGGTGGTTTTGGTTCAACAGGACTTTAATAATTTTATATATATATTTTTTTAATAATTTTTTTTGTAATTTTTTTAGATGTCTAATAAATTTATAGAAATGGTTAAACAAGTTATGATTAATATGAACAATGGTGAAAATTTGTTAAAAGATGTGGAAAATGTAACACTGACCGAGATGTCCAACAATTGTAAATTTATTGTTTATAATGGTAATCCAATGGATTTAATGGCAAACCAATGTAAAATGGATGACAATAAAACGGACAATAAAAGCAATGAAAAATGGATGACAATAAAAGAAGATGCAAGTGATAATGAAAAAGTTAATGAAGATAATGCAAGTGTTAATGAAGAATGTGTACACAGTGATTCAGATGACGAATTTCTTGAAGGTGTACAAAGTGATTCAGATGACGAAATTCTTCATGAAATATTTGATAAATATGATCAAATAACTATCAAAAAATCTGATTTAAAAGAAGAATTAAAAAATTTAGAACTTAGAGTAATCAACTAGAAGATTTAGTGAAAAGAAGTGATGATGATAGCGATGAAATGAATGAAAATTTAAGAATTCTTTTGTTATTAAAAGATTTAGATAATAGAGTTAGTTTTCTTAAAGAACCAAATGGTTTACCTGATGGTCAAAAGATCTTTGTGATTCAAGATATAGTGAAACGAATGAATATTAATTCAAATAATTATCGTTCTACTCTTTTTTCTGCACCGTTTTTTTATAAAAATTATAAAATGACAATAAGAATTAATTTTAATATGGATATTGATGATAATAATGAAATGATACATGGCGACTATATTGGTATATTTGTAGTTTTAATGCCACACATTTATGATGCTGTTTTAAAATGGCCGTTTAGTAATAAAAAAGGAACAATATCATTATTGGGGAAAAATAAATTTAAAAAATCGTTTCTAACCGGTGACGATATTTATTATCAAAGACCTATTAAAGATAGAATGAATTGAGCTTTTGGATTTGGAAGATTTATAAACAAAACTGATCTTTTAAATTATATTGTAGAAGATTCTCTTTTTATTAAATGTAAAATGTAAAATTAATTTTTTTATATTTCATTCTTTTTTAAAAATTTGTAATTTTTTTTAGGTAACTAATAAAAAATGTTGTATAACATGATAACAAAATTAAAAGAAAAAGATAAAGAGTTGGCTCATCAATGTGAAAAGTTGTACGATTATTTAGAAGGATTACGTAATGAATATTGTATGGATGATATTCAAGAATTCAAATCTGCAGTTTGTGTTAATTTGAATAACGATAAACATAATTATGCATATGATAAAAGTATTATCAATTTTTATTTGAAAGTATGTTCAAAATTGATTATCAAATGTAATAAATCTATTGATCGTTTACAAGAACAAATAAAAAAAGAAAAAGAATATCAAGAAGAAAGAAATGATACGTTTATTGAATTTATAAAAAATAAAGACGATTGGCCTTGTTATGCTAAAAAACAAAAATTCGAAAATTATGTTTATGAATTTCGATACTTGACAAAAACAGAACTAGTTCAAAATTTAAAAATAAAAATACGTCGCGAATTATTTAATTTAATTAATAAAATGGAGTTGATATTAGTTAGCGATTCTTAATTATTTTGTAATATGATTTTATAATAAAAATTTTTTTTAGATGTTAAAATCAATTTAAAAAAATGTTAAAAATATGATAAAAGATGAACATATGGAAGATTTGCAACACTTGCAACTATTTGCAGTTAGCGAAAGTTTTGATTGTGAGCAATATAAAAGTGTTAAAAAAACTTTTGAAAAATTTGATAAAGATGTGGATATGATCAAACATGATTAAAATGAAATTGTTTTTAAACTTAAACTTTTACATTTATATAGCAAGATTGTATTAGATTTATTTCATCAGTATACAATTAGTATACAATTTACAAAATGTGAAAAATTACTTGAAAAAAAGATAAATGTAATGAATAGAATAGGAAAATTTTTAAGGGAATTGATACGATATGATTTTGATAAATGTGTTAATTTATTACTTTAAAATAAATTTTTTTAGAAAACTAATAATGTCTGATCTTATTTGTGAACCATCGGATCAAAAAAAACAAAAGTTAGAAGAAGATGAAGTTCAATTAGAACCGGAATTACTCAAAGAAATTCAAACTTTACAGCAATTGGCTGATATTGATGATGTTGACGTAATAATGTTATTGAAATCATCGACAGATTATGATGGTTTAATAAAAAATATTGAAATGAAGTATAATAATTTATTACTTGGTAGATGTTATTATGTGAGCACGTTAAAGCAAAAACGTATTTACGATTTACATCATAAATGTTTATTTGATTTATATCAAAAATTTAGTTTTTCTACTGCAAGATTACATCTTGAAATGAAAGAGTTAGGAGATATTTATTATTCGAAAAAAAAGTTACTTGTTGAAGAAAAATTAAAACACACTTTAGCATATAATAGATACCGTGTTATTTGTAAATTATATAAAATGCTGAGTAAATTTGATAAACAAGTTCGATATTTAAATGACGATTATATGAGTGATATACAATATTTAGGGAGTGATTTAAAATCTTTAGAAATTTGGTGATTTTTATTATGATGTATTGATAACTATATAAATGTAAAAAATATTTTTTTAGATGGAATTAACAGTAAAAATAGTAAATGAATTTATGAAAAAATTTTTATCGCACAATGAAATTTTTCCGTTTACGTTGGAAGAATTGATTATTCAAGCTAAAGAATTTCAACAATTAATATGTGTGAAATGTGAATTACTAAATATGTTCAATCGGAATAAAATTTTTGATAACGATAAATGGAACATGTTGTTTTGATACGATTTTATAAGATCAGAAGATCAGTTGGTTGTTATGTTGACACAAGGATTTCAAAAACATTTGTTGCATACAATAGATCGGTTTTTACCACAAAACTTTAAAATATTTTATATTTTTTTTAAAGATTACATAAATGTAGATGTTTTTGTTTCACACGTTAACCAATTGAACAATGAAAATAATAAAGTTATTAATAAAAGAAAATGTTATTATTGTAATAATCTTTATTAATTTGTAATTTTTTTTTTCAGTTATAATGAATAGTAAAGAAAAACATGACAAAGATTTTCGAATGACGTATGATGAGCATACTGACGAATCAGTAATAAATTTAGAACATCAAAAAGCATACAAAAGTTTAAAAGAAATTCTTTTAAAAGAAATTCTTTTAGAAGATGTGGAAATCAAATATTTACGTGAAAAATTTCGTTATCAAACTATAGCTAATTATTTTGTTACTAGTTTGAAGGAAGTATATTGGACAGCACAATCTTTATCTAGAGAGAAACGTAATACAATAATACAAACTCATTTGATTTGGATAAAAACTATGAATGAACTTTGTGATAAAGGAATAATAATATCAGAAGATATAATTAAAAAATATAATTATTGTGTATGTACTGTATACATATGTATGTACTGTGTACATAAAAGTTTTTTGAAATTTAAAATTGAATTAAAAAATGATATGATAGAATGTTTAAATTTGTTTACTTGTTGTCCTTATTGTGAATATAATAAAATATGTCAATATTGTATATGTTAAAAATTTTTTTTTTGATGATAACAGAAACTAAACTAAATAATATTTTGGAATTGTTAGAAATGGATGCCATTTCTCTTCGTAAAATACAATTTGTATCTATGGAATACATGTTGCACGAATTACACAAAAAAATGGATTGCGAATTTAAAGATGAATATAATTGGGGTTCATTGGTATCAAAAAATAAAAGACAAGTACCAATTGAAATAGCTAGTTTTGTATTAATTTTAGCTTTACATAAATTTAAAAAAGGCGAATTTCCAACTGATGATTTTTTTGAATTTTATGCTTTTTTTAAAAATTATCATGACAAAGAAAAATTTATTTACCAATTAAATGAAAAAATTGAAGATAGCAGGAAATGGTATTATGATAAACGAAAGTTAACTGTATTAAAACTCAATGACGTTATGAAAACTTTTAGCGAACGACAATGGGTTGAATCTACATCTACAATCTGTATGATGAAATTTACTTTATCAGATTTGTATGATAAAGCTTTAGCATATAAAGAAATTTGTGGAAAATGTAAAATTATTAAAAATGATGAACAACTTGAAAAACTTAATGTTCCAATCCCAAAAGATTCTAAATTAAATGTGTCAACGGATTGGATAGATTTTTTTTATTATCAATTTCCTAATAATTATGTAATTTTATTTTTGCTAGAAGTATTGTTGTCAAATTTTCCATACTATAAAGATAAAGCTTTTTATACGTTTTTTATATATGTTTTTTGAAAATTGTGACAATAATTATATTAAAAATATAATTATTGAAAAAGTTAATATAAAAGTTTATGATTATGTAAACGCACTTTTTTATTATTAATAAAAGATTATTTTTTTTAGATGGAATTTACAGAAATAATATTAAATTGTGTAATGGATTCTTTTAAAAAAATTTGTGAAAAAGAAAATTGGACAGTGGCAGATTTACAATTTAAATATATGGAATATAACGCTGATTGTACTTTTGGAAATGTATCTAAAATGGAAAATATTTTTGAAAAAACAAATAGCTTTGTTAACAATCATCGTGTTGTTGTATTGATGATTTTACAATATATAAGACGAAATTTTCATGTTTATTTAAATGTAAATTTTAATATGTTTTATCAATTTTATGAAAATATGAGCGAATCAATAAAAAAAAAATGGATTAAAGAAATACAAATGTATATTAATCTATGCATCAGTTGGAAATCTTATTTAAAAGAAGATACGAACGAAGACGTTTTTTATTAATTTTTGTTATATTAATATATTTATTTTAGATAAAAAAATATAAAATATGGATATACGAAGAAAATATCAACAACAAGATTCATTAAAAAAAATATTAATCGAAAAACAATGCGAAGAAGTTACGAATGTATTATCGTCTACATTATGTGAAATGAGTGAAGAAATAGATTTGATAATAAAATTACATAACGAAAGAAAAAATCAACAAAAAAAGCATAAAATTATAATATTTGAACTGACAAATAATGAAATGATATCAATTGTGATGTGGTTTTATAAATTTTATATTTTATATATGTTTTCTTAATTTTTTTTTGTAATTTTTTTTGTAATTTTAGACAGAAAAAATAAAAAAATGACTTTATCAGCTAAACAAAAATTGGCTTTTCAATGGTTTGACGAAGGATTAAATTTTTTTATTACTGATAGTGCTGGTTGTGGTAAAAGTTATATACTTGATGCTATTGCTTCTAGCGATCAAATGTTTAAAAATATTGCAGTTACAGCTAGTACAGGAAGAGCTGCTCATCAGATTAAAGGTATGACTGTGCACAGTTTTGCAGGTATTGAAATAGGTACAAAATCTGTCGATTATTATTACAAACACATGCAAATAGATCTTTTCGAAAGATGGAGAAATACACATGTTTTGATTATTGATGAAATTTCAATGCTTAACGCAGAAACCTTTGATTTATTACATCATTTAGCATGTAAAATAAATCAATGCAATGACGAATTGTTTGGTGGAATACAAGTTATTACATGTGGTGATTTCCGTCAACTGCCACCTGTAAAAGGTGAATATGTTTTCAAGTCTGCAATATGGAAAAAATACATGTTTAATGTTATTGAACTTACTGAATCTTTTAGACAAGAAAATATTGAATTTTTTAACGCTTTAAACGAAATACGAATTGGAAAAGTATCTGATAAAACGGTCGATTTATTAATGACAAGACATTATGAAGCTGATCAAAATATAAATTCAAATTTTATACGTTTGTTTTTTACAAATATGGAAGTTGATTTTTTTAACTTGCGTCAGTTAATGAGTATTCCTTCTGATGAACGTTGGTTTCATTCTAAAGATGTTATTAAAAATTTAAAAATAAATCCATTATTTTAAATACCTATTAGTATAAATATTAAAATTGGAGCTGTAGTCATGTTAGTAAAAAATATAAATGTTGAAGAAGGTTTATGTAACGGAACAATTGGTATTGTAACATTTATAGAAACAGACGGAGTTTGGGTTAATATTAACGGTAGAGAATTTAAAATCGAAAACGTGAGAGAAGACATTTTAGATTGTACTCATAGTATTATTGCATCTAGAATTGGTTTACCTTTACAATTGGCATTTTCTTTAACTGTTCATAAAGCGCAAGGTTGCACGTTAAATAAAACTGTTTTGAATTTTAACAGTAAAATATTTATTATGTCGTTACCTTATGTTGCATTATCACGTGTTAAAGATTTAAATGATCTGTATATAATTCATAACAATAAAACGAATTGAGAAAAATATTAAAAAATATAACAAGTGATAGAGACGTAGATTTATTTTATAAAAATTTAAATGAAAAAAATTTTGTAACATGTTAAAAAAATATATTTTTTTAATTATATATAAAATTTTCTTTTTTTTAGGTTAATAATAAAAAAATGCATTTTAAGGTTAAGAACATTGAAGAAAAATTAGATAACGAAAGTTTTTATCGAGAAATATTATATTTTGTAAATGACAATTATAAAGATGAAGATTATATTGAAGAAATCGAATTAAACGATCAAATTCAAACACCTGAAGAAATTACTTATCACATTAATCAAAAAACACAAGATAGTTTTTTGATTGAATCAAATAAAGCCTTATCATTTGCCAATTTATTTCAAAACTTTTTAATCGGTTATAATATTGTAACACTTTGTGGTAAATCTACAGAAGACGGTTATTGTAAAATTATTAAAAGATGTTACAATTCACCTGTGTATTATATATAACCACAAATAAATTTACAATATATTAAAAGTAATAATATTCGATCAGTTTTTAACATTTTAGAAAATGATAGCGGATGGAGAATAATTCGTTTATCTAGTTTCAAAGTAAAATCAATAAGTAATTTAACTAAAAAATCAATGATGAAACTTCGAAATTATGAACTTGCTGGATATAAAAGAGTTGCTGAGCTGAGTCCAGAAGAATTAATGATAAGGAGAGAACGTGAACGTAAACGAAAAAAAATTGTTGCTGAGCTGAATCCAGAAAAATTATTAAAAAAACGAGAACGTGAACGTATTCGTTATCATAAAAAAATTTCTAAACTTAATACAGAAGAAATAATGATATATCGAGAAAATATGTCAAAAATAGTTAAAAAATGTTAAACTAAAAATAAAAACAAAATTCTTCATAAACAACGTCGTAAGTATATAAAAGAAGAAAATCAAGATGAATGGTATGGAGAATGGTATCGACCTCATTCTTTAACTCAATGGAACAAACATAAAAGTAGTTCGTTTAAAGTATTATCATACGATCAAAAAAGAAAAATGTTGTTAGATTATAGTATTTTATTTGAAATTGGTTTATGTTTTTATTCAGCGTTTGTTATTTCATTATTAATAAGAAAATGGAAAGTAAATACAATTAAAGAATGGAATACAAAAGTTTTTATTCTGAAGAAAATATAATGCAATTTCTTATTGAAGATCAAAACGATTTGTGGATACAAGCATTAAATATCTTAAAAGAAAAAAGTAAAAATTTGTCATTTTTAGAACTCATTAATTTGTGTCAATCTTTTGCGTACGAAAACACTTTTGATCGAATAAATATTAAAATTTTTTCAATAAATAAAAAAAATAAAAACGTTCGTTTACTACACCCTAAAATGAAATCACAATATAAAAGTGTGTTAAAAGAGCTATCAAAAGTAGTAAACAAAAGTGCAAATATAACTAAAGAAGATCAAAATCCTCAAAGAGAATTTTTAAACGAAAATGAAAGAAAAGAAGCTAACGAACGTAAAAACCCACTAAATACAATAAAAATTTGTTTGTATGAAAAAAATCAGTCTTTTCACGCTGTTAGCATGCTTAACGAACGTTTTTCTATTATATATAATAATATTCATCTGCATCAATGTTCAGAGTGCAGACATAAATATACTCAACAAAATCATAAACAAGAATGTAAAGGATTTTATGTAGCAGACAAATTTACATACGGAAAAACTAGACATTTTTATGAACCTCAAAATCAATTTATAAACACTTCTAGAAACGTTTTTCCTTTTTTTATTACATTTGACTGTGAAACAAGTATTCAAACATCAAATTTAAAAGAAACAGATCACGTTAAACCCTTGTCAGATCTTTTGTACTATTGTCACGGTATTGTTATTCATTGTTTGTCTGAAAATTTAGCTAGAGAATGTTTTGGTTTAGATGAAAGAAATAAAGTTATAACACAGTGGATATTTTATTATGAAAATACAATTGAAAGTTTGAAAGCCAATCCTTTAACATTACTACCTGCATGTTTTCAAGAAAGTGTTTCTTTATTACACAAAACACATAGACAAATATTGTGGCAAAAATTGGATGCAAATGACGAAAATGTTGAAAAATATAAAAGTGAACTGAGAGTGTATGATTTGTTAATTTTGGCTGACACTTTAGTACGTTTTACCTACGAAAAATGTTTACCTCGTTTTCAAAATTTAAACATTTCTGAACAGGAAAAATATCAAGTATGGCAAGAAGAAAATCCTTTGTGTTCAATATGTAGATGTCCTGCAGACAAAATAAATAAATCTGATGTGTACAGTTACAAATTAACTACAATGTTGGAACCAGAAATAAATTTATTAAATCATAACGAAATTAAATTTTATAACGACAAACGTGTTCAAGTTGTAAATCATATATTTAAACGAGTAAGCAAATTAGAATTGTTTATGCTTAAACCGTCAACTCAAAATTATTGAATAACAAACAAAGTAGAAAAAATTAAAAATGATTTGTTTCAAATATCTTGTTTATTTTATATATGTTGCAGATGGTGGGAAAAATTTGACCGCACTCTTATAACAAACGGGTTTTTAAGTGATTATGTAAGAATAAACTCGTTAGATCTAGTCGATCACATGAAATGTTTAAGTCAGCTCATTATGAACGAACAACAAATTAACATATGGTTTGAAAATGATCCTATAGAATTACTAGAAGATTCTTATTTTTTAATACGAATTTTTCAAAAATGTATCAACGAAGTTAACGTGCATTGGAAATATGAACGTGGAATGGGAATAAAAGATTCTATTACATTTTTACATCTCATGTCTCGTTTAAATCATCCGTCTGCTCATTTATGGTTTCATTGTATGTTGGAACCGTTAAATAGAGAATTTGAAAAAAAAAAGAACGTTAAAAGATTTAATTCAAGATGATAAAGGAAGAGATGACGTCTTAAAAGAATGTTATGGTTTGTTATCATGTTTTGAAGATTACTTGGTTATTGATCATTGTCACTTTTCAGGCACAGTTTACGGATTGGCACACGATTATTGCAACAAAAACTTGGCACGTTATAGTAGTAAATTAGCTTGTCCTATATTTGCCCATAATGCTTCTTTTGATAATCGTATCATGATTGTTGAAGGTTTAAAAAAAATATTAGATGTTCCCTTATATAGTTACGAAGAAAATACTGAGGATAAACCTTTTAACGCTTTTTTAAAGTGTAGCAATATGGAAAATTTGTTTGTTATTTCGAAAGGAGTAAACAAATTTAATATTATTTGCATTGGTAAACACATAAAAATTGTAGACACATTGAAAATTTTAAATTGTTCTTTGGATCAAGCAAGCAGTATGTTATCTAAAAAAGCACAAAATCAAATTATTGACAGCATGTTACACTATTTGTTACCTTTTTATCCACATATTAACCAATTAATAGACAATGAAGAATTTAAAAATTGTTTCATTAAAAAAACTTTGTTTCCTTATTCACAAATATCAGATAAACTTTTAAACATTGAATACAAAAATATACCTTCTATTGAAATATTTG